CCGAGGTTGGCATCGTCCGCGCGGCCTCGCGGCGCTGGTGGACGCTGAGCACGGCGCTCTGGGGCTGTGCTCTCCTCCTGGGAATCCTGCGGTGAGCCCTGGCAGCAGGAGGGAACGAAGGGAAAAATCTCCTGTTTGATGCTATAGGAGAAATAACTCTGTTGTTTTCAGGTCTCTGAGAATTTTGTTCCAGTTAAGAAGAAAATTGAGGCAGCACAAGGGGTATGGTTTCCCTCTTTGGCTGTACAGTTAAGCATAGAATCGTGGAAGAGTTTGGGAAGGATCTTAAAGCTCATCCAGTCCCACCCCCTGCCATGGGCAGGGATACCTTCCACCAGCCCAGGTTGCTCCAAGCCCCATCCAGCCTGGCCTGGAACATTCCCAGGGATGGAGCAACCACAGCTTCTCTGGGCAACCTGCGCCAGTGTCTCAGCACCCTCACAGGGAGGGATTCCATGCCAATATCCCATCTGTCCCTGCCCTCTGGCAGTGGGAAGCCATTCGCGGTATCCGGTCATAGAATCATAGAATCCGCCTGGCTGGAAGAGATCTCAAGGATCATCAAGTCCAACCCTACCATGTTTACTAGACCATGGCACTAAGTGGCACATCCATTCTCATCTTGAAAATGTCCAGGGATGGTGAATCCACCACCTCCCTGTGCAGCCCATTCCGTGCCCTTGTCCAAACTCTCTCTCTTGTAATTTACCACATCCCTCAGTTCTCATTTGTAAACCATCACAGTTATGACTTCATTCTGGGCTATCACTAACGTTACTCTTGCTTCCAACAGCACATCTTCACCTCTGAGTGAGCAGGAGATGAAGGCCCAGGTGAAGGCTGAGGTTCTGAGCATCCTCTCAGATGCAGCAGATCTCTCCAACGCGATCCATTGGCTGCCTCCAGGATTCCTGTGGGCAGGACAGTTCCCACCATGGTTAGTTGGGCTCCTGGGGACCATCTCCTCCCTCATTGGAATCTACCAAGCATCGAGAGGAGGATAATTCTGGAGCTGTTTAAACCCTACCTGAGCTTCAGGTGCCAAATTGTCACATGGTAGAAGTGCCTTTAGCAATGCAGGATGTGCTTTAGCTTTCCTGGGTTGATGATTGTAATTCCACACATCCTGTAATGGGGACTGGAATCAAGGTGTCTGTTTGCAGTTGTCAATTTTTATCACTCTTCATTGGAGAAATCTTTCAGGTGAATCCTTTGAAAATCAAGAATTTCCTATGACTGGTAAAACTAAGGGGAAAAAAAGTCTCTTCCATCTGTCCCAAAAGACAAATGCAACCCTCCAGTGGTTTCTGTCACAGAGGCAGTGAGAAACTGCCACAGTTCTGTCACACAAAACTGAGTTCACACTGAGCTCAGCCTTGGTGCCTTATCTGATCCAGAGATGTGACCCATATCCGTTGGGTATTTTGGGGTTTGAGCCCAGAGCTGATGCCCAGAGCTCAAACAGGAGTGAGCAGTTGCGTTGCTTGTGACAGCTCTTTCCTCAGAGACGAGAAGGGAAGGAAACAGCAAGTGGAGGCAGCACGAAGCTTCCTTCTAGCCTGCGTTGCTCCTTTAAGGAGAAGTGGTGGAAGTTGAGCCTTCCCGCAGCGCCGAGGCTTTGTGCAATGCCACCGGGTGGAGCTCTTCGCCAGGCATGGGCACTGCCAGCGGAGCACCAGGAGCTTTAATCACCTCTCAGAGGAGGAATCAAACCTTCACCGCGCTGGGCTTCGCAGTCACAGCTCTGGGCGTTGCCAATAATAAAGGACACAAGTGCTTCAAAGGTGACCTTGAGTGAGCATTGCTTCTGATAGCAGGGAAAAGTTCTTTATCTGGTTCTGGAAAGGTTCAGGCAGTGCCCAGGTGATAGAAAACATCAGTGCTGTGTGAGCTGCAGCTCCCCAGCAGTTAGGAGCCTTCCTCCGACTGACTGCCATGGAAATGCAGCCTTTGAAACCAGTTCTGCTTGGTCTGCTCAGTGCTCCTGTCCCTGCGGCCCAGCACGGGCGACATTTCCTGGGGGTTTGGCCCCATTTGTGGTGGTGTTTCTAGCATGGACATGGGGAACTGTGCCCTGTCTGTGTTCAAAGAGCAAAGCCAGGTCTGGATACTCTTTACCCTGTCCTTGCTGTTTATCTGGACCTTCACCCTGAGGATGCATTCCTGTCTGGGCTGGGAATTTGGTGTTAGATTCACAGGTTTTGGTATAACTCAGAGTGTAGGCAGGAGGAGGAGATTTGTTTTTCAGCTTTTCTCAGTCCTGTGCCTGAACAGATGGAGCATCCAGGTCCTTCTGCTTGGGACAGCTGTGGCTGTTGGCTGGTCCTGTCACCCACTGTGGTGGCTCCTGCTGTAGTTTAGTAGTTTCTAATGATAAATCAGATTCTTTTTGTGTTCTTAACATCATTAACCCATTCTTTTAGGACTCACTCTCCTGCTCAACACAGGGCAAGGTGTAGTTATAACAGAAAAACAACCGAAATACACACACAGAGCCTTTGATGCCAGATTAGTAAAGCTCCAAACCTTGCTTTAACACAAACACAGGAGGCTGTAAAACAGCTCTCAGTGCATTTGCTTCATTACTTCCTGAGTGATTTTAAACTGTAGATGGGAAAACTGAATTGTGCAGAGATAAAGCAAATCTGGGTAATTCAGAATGTCTGGAATCTGTATTTTCTCTTTGGGATGGTTTTAATCCAAACTGACACAGTGTTTTAAGCACCTGTGGTGGCTGCACGTGCCTGTCCAGGGCAGCACACACTCATTTTTAGCACGAGACTTTGCACGGGCAAGCCTGATCCTTCCAAAACTTGCTTTTTTTGGAAAACTTTTTCTGTGATGCAGCCATCAGCCCAACTCAGCTCCTGCTCCTGAGAGGGTGATAGTGCCTTTCCTTGCCAAGCTGGTGGTGCAGCTGATGGGAGGCAAAGCCCAGCAGCAGCTTTAGTGTGAGAGCTGTTTTCAATGGCTGTTTTCAGTGCTGCAGCTGGGCCCCAGATTTCGGAGGTGAGCTCCAGGCAGGAGAACATTTGCTGAGCAGTGTGAGTTTGCTGGGCCAGGCCCTGCCTTTGTCAGCACGGCGGCATCCAAAGGCCACGGCAGGCAATGCTGGTGCCAGCGAGGCTGCCCCGTTTATGGCACTTTATTGCCAGGGCACTGTCGCCACCGGAGCCTCAGATCCGCCGAACCAACGATGGGGACATGAGGGGGACAAGGGGAAAACACGGGGGGACACAGAGGGGCACCAGGAGGACACGAGGGGGACACTGAGGGACACGAGGGGGACAAGGGGGAGGCACAGGGGCACAAGAGGAGGACATGGGCACACAGAGGGACACACAAGGGGGACACACAAGAAGAACACGAGGGGGTCACAGAGGAACATGAGGGGGACACAAAGGGACACAGGGCACACGAAGGGGACATGAGGGGTACAAGGGGGACACAGGGGGCACATGAGGAGGACACGAGAGGGACATGGGCACACAGAAGGACAAGAGGGGCACATGAGGGGGACAAGAAGGACACCAAGAGGACATGAGGGACACAGAGGGACACGAGTGGGACACGCAGGGACACAAAGGGCACACGAGGGGCACACCAGTGGGACACAGAGGGACACACAGGGACACCGGTGGGACACAGAGGGACATGAGGGGCA